GGAGAGCAGCTTGACAGCTCATGTAATGCATCTCTTTCTAACACTCAAAGTGGAAACAAGGCAATATAAAATCCCAAGGCGGGCTTTTTCCCCAACACTGCAATTCTTGGAAAGTTTTCACAAACCACTCTGACCATTCCATTTTTAAACATACCCATAAAAGTGTCCCACTGGCAGAGACTTTACCTTCTCAAACAGCTTCAGCTGACAGGACTACCTATTATATAACAGCTTTAAACTGCCGGCTGATTTGTGTGTCAATTTACCCTTTTCTATGCGCGAAGATGCACACTCGATGCTGTTTCAGCTTACGGATGGTTGACATGAACAGATGTTAGGGATGTTCGGGCACTACCATTTGCGAGTCACATGTGAGAGGTTGAGAACAGACCAATTTGTGCTTCTGTACTCACATGCAACATTGAATGCCTCATCAGATTTTACGCCTGTGTGTACGTTGTTGCTAGTGCATTTTTAAAGGCAAGCTTAACGGAGAACAGTCTCTTACAGAGACTTTACCCTCACCTATGCTATCTGACTCAGTAAGGACATACTACTGTGTGTATCCCTACACTACAGGGGGTCTTCTGCTATGTTCTCTCCCATTTACCAACAGAATACATGCAAAAATGGCTGTTTTAAAATCAAAAAGGATATGTATCTGTTGCAAATGTGAGCAATTAGTATAGACTGCACCTCTGTTTAAGTTCACTCTATTTGAAACCAGAGGCTGCATGTATATTGTTTTTGATGTGTGTGTAATTGTGTGTTCTACAGTACTTCGTTCTGTGTCTTTGTTTTGCTCTTGAACATACCTTCATACAGTTCTCTCACTATTGTGTGAATTTGTAGCTGGTCAAGATCACTCTTGCAAATCTTTGTTAAATATAATTTTTTTTTGTAAAACAATTAATATAGAAAAATATTTGCAGAATAATCAATAATACAAATATTAGTTTAAGCACTACACATTACCCCCCAACTTGTAGTATTAGTGGTGCTGGTTCGCAAATCTTCTAATGGAGCCAGGCTAGCTGTTTACCTGTTTCCATTTAGTATGCTAAGCTAACCTTTATTGTAGCTTAAAGAGGCCCTATTTTGCTTGTTGGGGTCCATTCACCATCACTGTAGTGTGTTATATAGGTTTGTGTGCATGTAAATGGTCTGCAAACGCTAAAATCCCTCAGTTCTCTCCCTCACTCTCAAAATACCTTTTGAACATTAATGTAAACATGTCACAGTAAAGGCACTAAACACTAATATGAACCTGTAAATTAGCATAATAGGGCCCCTTTAATTTCTAACCTTATCATCCAACTCTCAGCCAGAAAGCAATTCGCCCTAATTCCCAAGTGGAACTTTAAATGTACTTGGCTTGGTAAATGAACGTAAAGCCAAAATGAACCCTCCTCCTCTTTTTCTTCCTCTTCTTCCAAATAAGTCGGAGGCTTTTTTAAATCACGCCATCTTACCCCCTCACAATGAGTCGGTAACTACAACGTGTAGCGACTCACATTATCCAAGTTGGATTTTCAGCTCGACTATATACGCACGCTAACTTTCTTGATGAGAATTCAGGTTGTCCTTACACATTTTACCCCCTCCTAAAAATGTATGGACTCATCACAAGATGGACTCACTCAGACGGCTTTAATGAAGCGAACATTTTCGCTACTGCTTTGTCCTCATGAAGCAAAGTAGCACTCGCATCACTAACTTTGAACATCCTGTAATGTTGCACGCCATCGTTCAGCTGTATTTTTGTATGTCATCCCTTGTGTCCGCTGGCTGGCAGTGTAGTGTGGATATTGCAGAGTTGAGGGTGGAGGGGACGAGGTGGCATTCAACCAACAGTGAGCACCACATAAAGCCTTTATCACACCTAAACGGCTCCGTCTCCCAAAGCCAGAGTGAGATAAGCACTGCCCATTCATCTGTAATGATGTGGAAGCAAGAACCAACTGAAGTGAGTTGAGAGGGAAAGGCTAACTCTGGCACAGTGGGGATGGTGGATAAGGTTGCAGGGCAAATGAGGTTTGCCTTATTCACTTCTCAAAAGATGTGTTTGTGTATATTGTGTTTTCTGGGAATTCAAGTTCATTACAAGATGAGTGTTGTTTTACACTTGAAAGGACTGTGATTATCTGCAAGATGAAAAGTGAATCGGGGCTCACATTGCATCACGTTTCCCTTGGACTAAAAATGTAATTTCTGCAAACAGACCAAATATTCTTAAAAACTAAAACCTGTTTTCACGTGCTTATTGTAAGCTCATGATTTCAAGTAATAATTGCAAAGCCTACAACTTTGAGTTATTCGTAGTTGGACACATTCTAAAGTTATCTTCTTAGTTGGCAATAGATATTTCCAATATTTCAGGTAGCATGAAAGAAAACTCTCCGATTTTCATGTAAATGTCCAATCATTTTTAATAGTAAATATAGTAAATTCAAGCAATACATTCCTCAGTGTGTGCATTATTTTATATATGTAGGCTAGCAGGATGCATAGTGCAATACAGTCAAATACCCTTGTCCAAGATTTTCTTCAATTATATTATAAGATGCCATTTTAATTGTGATTTATTGAAATGTAGCTAGTTTACAATACAAGCAAAGGGAACAAAGAAGTGATGTCCTTGAACGCATCTAGAGTTACCCTGGCTACCAAGGGGTGGAGAACAGGAATAGCTCTTTCTTGCATCCAACTGTGTCACTGTCAGGTCAAATGACGGCGCTGGATGCAAGAACAACAGATGTTAAATCTGCAAACTCGGCTTTCTCCATCAATAAAGAAGGATTGTCATGCTTTAATCGACTACATTTACCATAAGCACTGATTGGATATCCACATAAAAGGTGGTAATTTTCCCTTTAAGGAACATTTAAATGAAACCAATGAACTACTAATGACGTTTATTGCCAAACCTACCATACTGCCTTTGGCATGTTCATGTTCATCTGCACATTTGCAAATTTGACAGAAGTTGATTTTGAGACACAGTTGTGGAATGCACTCTAGACACTGATCCTAGAAAGAGCCTTTAGGAAATTGAGAGTGACCCAATTGGCCAACAGCAAGCTACAACTATCAGGTAAAGTGGTGATAAAATGCAGCCTACAAAAACGGTGTGAAGATTGATAATACAATCAGATGGCAGAAAGGACCATTTATGTATAGAGTGGCGAAGTCACGCCCATCTACTTCCACCCCATGGGACCTTATTTCGGAAAAATAATGTATTGAAGTCAATGGAGAGAGAAAACGTATCTTTCGATCCCGTTTGAATTGTGCCATGAATTACACATATGATGTTTGTCAATCTTAAAAAATAATTTCCATGTCAAAAAAGTCACAGTTTGTCGTAAAACTGTTGAAATATAAGAATATGAAAAATACATAACTAGAAAGACTACAAATCCCAGAGTCGCGTAAGTGATGTCACAATTGTTTTCCTCCACTAAGATCAGCGCCATATAGATATAATCTATCTATATGGCGCTGGCTAAGATAAGATAACTTTAACAAGATGCCTGTGTGCTTAGTACCAGGTTGTTATTATACCAGCAATGGGTCTTGCTCGTTCTTTCGCTTCCCGTCTGATGAAAGGACCAGGAGTGTCTGGATCAAGCTAGCTAGTAGCTAGCACGTTAGTTAGCATTACAGCCTTGTCATTTGTATTAGCCTTAACATGAAGTAACATTAAGTAACCCAAAATGTTAAACAGTAAGAGTAGTAGTCATATTTCGTGAACCCTTTGAAGAGTACTGTCACCGGTGTGATCATTCTATAATACACAATTTAAGCCCGGGGGAGAAATGCTAACGCTAACGCTAGCATCGACGATCTTCTCTACTTCATGCTATCTACACAAATGGTTGACATTAAACATTAAAAAGACCAGGCAGTTCAGAGAGAATCAAAGGAAGGCAGGCAGACAGCTTTGCATGACATTCTTCAGGACGTGTTTCATTGTGGTGATAGTGAGGGTAGTCAATCGTTTTGTTGACAAGACAGTAGTGACGGCCATCTTGGTGACGTGTGTTGTTGACCAGAGATGTAGTTCATTGAGCGTTTCACACAAACAAATGTGTTACTTCACAGTTTTACGACACATTTTTTTTTTTTTTGACTTGCAAAATTATCTTTTAAATTGACAAACATCATATGTGTAATTCGTGGCACAATTCAAACGGGATCGAAAGATAATCTTTCTCTCTCCATTGATTTCAATACATAGTTTTTCCGAAATAAGGTCCCATGGAGGTCCACCGGAAGGGGAGGGACTTCGCCACTCTATAGAGAAAAAACAAGAACTGGATGTACATGACTCTCTTTGGTAGCTGTAGCTTAAGAATCAATGCTCAAGTTGCATAGCATAAAAACAGGTACATTAACAGTGGCCACATATGAGTACTCTGGAAAGACACCAATGGGTAGTAAATGTAATTGTACTAATTTAAACACAGAAAATGCAATATAGTGGCATAAGTTCTGGTGGTTTCATATTTAATGTTTTATTTAAACATCATTTCCTCTGCACTAGTGATTGTTTATCTTTTTTTGCTTCATTTTCTTGGTTCTGTGCACAAAGATTACTTAGTTGGCTTCTTTGTAGATGCGTCATGCATTTAAGGGTAATACCGCCATGATGTGTTACATTTTAGTCAAACAACTTTAGTCAGTGCTCAGATTCTTACTAACACCAACGTTTTCAGGTCAAATAATTATCTTTTAGATGACTACATGACTTAACGCATATAATCACCATCTTGTGGTAGACAGAATAGCAAACTTTAGCCTCAGGGTAATATAAATGTACTACATCTGCAGCCAAGTGTCATTATTCCCTCTTTTTTTGAGCTAACAGACACTTCATCTTGATTTAAATCATCTTAGCTATATTGTCCTCTTGTGCCTTTTAAAACACACTGAGGGGACTTAAAGAGCAGACCAATTCTCAACCACACTGACTCAAACCTGCTGTCTGTGTCTTCCAGGTGTAATTGGCTTCCTGACTGCAGCTCTGGACCCATCAGGAGTTCCAAAGAGGAAGGCGGATGAGACCACAGAGTCTACCTGAGAATGATACCTGTCCCCGCACCTCACCATGTCACCCTAGGAAAACCGTTGACCTGTCCCCTTCCACATATCCTATTTTTGCCTTTATTTCCCATCACCCACTGATTTTGTGATCCCTTTCTACACCCAACTTAACTCCTATTGATATGACTAAAAGAGCCTTTATTTTGGACATGTTGTTTTTTCCTCTCAATGCTGCCAGCCACCAAGGCTATGGTGGGAAGCGTCACTTTAGTTCTCAGCGGGTCGCCAATCACTGCCTGCTGTGGCTCTTGGGACTGGTGCTTCACCTCACCCTTTCCTCATGTCAACGGATTGACCTGAAATACCCCATAGTGTCCACAGGCTATGGAAAGATCCGTGGTATCAGGAAGGAGCTCAACAATGAGATCTTGGGCCCTGTGGAACAGTTCTTAGGTGTGCCATACGCCACCGCACCAGTCGGTGAGCGCCGCTTTCAGCCTCCTGAAGCTCCAGGCTCATGGCAAGAGATTCGCAATGCCACCCAATTTGCACCAGTCTGTCCCCAGAATGTCCACGGGGTTTTACCTGAGATCATGCTACCAGTGTGGTTCACAGACAACCTGGATGCTGCAGCGACCTACGTTCAGAACCAGAGCGAGGATTGCCTTTACCTCAACATCTATGTACCCACTGAAGATGGTGAGTTATTTTTTTTTACAAATATTTGTATTGGCATTTATTTTTCCCAGCAGGAGAGATTTCATAAATGTATACTCCCTCAAAAAAGAAAAGAAAACATAAATAAAAAAGTTACAAAAACGGAGAAATACACATTTTTGTAGTATAATATAGTAGTGTATATAATAACTTAAAGGGGACCTATCATGCAAAATGCACTTTTGTACGTCTTTTATACATGAATATGTGTCCCCGGTGTTCCAGGGAACTCACCAAGTGTCAGAAAACGCAACCCTCTATTTTCCTCCATACCCAAATCTCTAAAAAAAGGGGCTGCAACGGATCTGATAAAAACTGATCCAGATTTGAACACTGTCCTGACGTCAGGACGGTGGCGCTACGGCTATTGGGCCAACTCTCCACCTATCAGGGGAATGTGGGGTTGGGCCACGGCCGGCCATTGCCGCTCGAAAGCGCTGGAGACGCTGTAGTACATATGCCAGGCCTGTAAGTGGCGCTGTAGTCTGCCACAAAAGCAGCGAAGAAGACTTCCCGCGCATGGTTACCATGGTTACCCTTCTGTTTATTCTCCGCTGTGGCTCTTTTTCTCCCTCCCCGAGGCAAGCGTTTGCTCCTGCTGCTTTAATTCAATGCAATCCCTCCCCGTCGAGGCAAGCACTGTAATTCTCTCCGGTTAGTCCACCAGCAGATGACAAACACCCACCTCTCCGCCTCTTCCAAGGAACGAGGGGACCGTGCGGCAGAGTTTCAGTTAGGTTTTCTTTCGCCGGTCAAAATGTTCGTTAAAGTTGAAATCTTCCGGACAAAATTAGAAAAGTGCCTGTCAAAGGTCTTCTTTGTTATTTATTGAGCTTTAAAACAAATGAATAACGACTCTATATAATAATAGGCTATAATAAAACACGGAGGACGGAGATCTATTTCTCTCCCCCTCTTCTGACTTGATCAGAGCACGCTCCCCTCTCCTGCAGGGGGGCGTGGTCAGCTGCAGCTCACAGAATCAGACCCCTGCAAAAACAGTGCTGGAGAACAGCAAATAGAGCGAAATAAGGCATGGCTAAAATGCATGATCTGTTTGGTATTTTGAAAACAGAAACGTATAAATATACCTTATATAGGTATGGCCCTACAATATATCATTTAAATATAGCATGATAGGTCCACTTTAAAACATATAAATTAAAACATTAACAAATCAAAAAAAATTTAAATGGACAAGGTTGCCTTTATTTTTATTTCAAAAAGAATTTCCCCTTGATAGAAGGTATCAGGCTTTTCTTTAAGTTTGATTTTACTAAAGCCCGCATCACACTGTCCCGAAATTGACATCAGATGGACACACGATTATGGAATTGTGAATTTCGCACGAAGATGGCCCCGAACTTGGTCAACAGCCAAGCAACAGCCGAAGCAAGTACGATGCCTACAGAAGGCCACATGATGACACCCGAACCACACACTCCGTCATGTTATTTCCATAGCAACAACAACTTCCTGTCAACAGCGTAAACTCACCTTCAAAATAAAAGCATCTAAATAAAACAGGAAGTTAAACTAAATTACATTTAAGACATACAACTGCAACGAAAGTAACAAAAACAATGTAATATCCTTTTCAGTTTCTCAGAACACAAATTGTACTATAATACGATGGCTACACGATGGCATTGCGAGGGCTTCACGTAGTCGTGTTGCCTTCTTAAGACAATCGGGCAGCTTCTTGTTTCCTTCGTATTGTCTTCGTGAGGCGAAAAATGCCCGATGGCACCGATGATCAGACGAAGATGACACGATTTGACAAGATGCCCTCACGATGGCCTTACGAAGGGCAAAATGGACACACGAATTCAACACGAAAATGAACCTTCGCAAGGGCTTTCGGCAATTTTTTGGCATGCCAAAGATTTTGCCACCGCTCACGAAGTTGCTGCCGGAGCCTGAGAAACTCCACCGGCAGTCATACGATGGCTTAAGATGCCCTCACGAATGGCCCGATGTTTTCACGATCAGAGCCGAATTTGAACATTTCCTTTATCGTGTGTCCATCTGGTGTCAATTTCGGGACAGTGTGACGCGGGCTTAAGGCCATACAATTAGAGATTTTTTTTCACCAGTGACTGATTGAGAGTTTTTCTGGGTTTTTCCCAAGACGGATATTGTTTAGCTTGAAGAAGAGAAAAAACTAAACGGCAAAATTATTGGTGTTATTAAGTCTTGAAGGGGAAACGAAGAATACAGAGTTTTTGGCATTCTGGTAATTTTGCTAAAACTATTTTTAGAACATGGAAGATGGTAAGTTCGACTAAACTCCCATGCTAGCTATAGAAGGATATACTGTAAAGTCAGTCTTGGAGTTACAGACTGTGCATTTTAATGGGGCAGAACAAGAAGAGAGTAGGCCTGAAACAATTGGTTTGAGTGTAAGAACACCTTGTACTTCTCTAACTGTATTCTAATTTCATATTTCTGTCAGCGTTCCAGGACTCACAGGAATAGTGCCATTCTGATCAGTTAACCAGGATTATATCCAGTGAAAGGAGAGCTCAGGATATTACCAGATCTGATAATGTCCTGTTCTGTAATAATGTCAGTCTTAATTAGTATTGGTTTCTCCATTACTATTGATCTAATCGTTTCCTAGATGTATATCATTACGACATGGTAACATTTATAATCTTTCTTGTGCTAATACTCTTCTGAGCAATTAGATACACTTTACATTTATTTTCTCATATTTAATTAATCTTAGCATTTTATGAATATATTTAAAATTCTTAAGGAATATGCTCTACTAACTAGCTGCTTTTTGGGACAATTAGCCACACTGGGACATGCTAGGTTTTAGCTTGATTGACATTAACTTGCTTAAATCATGTATGAACATAACATCTAAAATACTAGCTGCGGTGGCTCGCTAAATTGTTTTGTTCTCAAGTGAGTCCATATTTAATTATATTACCTAATTTAATTTAAGTCAGTGTTATCTAGAAAGCCCCTAGAGCAGGGGTCTCCAACACGTCGATCGGGGCAGCTCTTCAGTATCTCGCGGGCAGCTTTTCAGTAGCTCGCCGCTCGCGGTTCACATCCAACGACAATAAATACACCTGAATCAGTCTGTGTCGATTTATGTTTTTAAAAATACTCGCGTTAGCACCATGTCAGGTTTTTGGTGGATTTAATCAAGTCTTGGATTGCAGAGTATGAATGTCCTCTTGCTATTTTCAGTTGATAAATACTTGTGTAAAGTTTGTGAAGGCAGGAGGAAAGCTTCCGCGATCACCGTCTCCTCTGTTCCTCCAAACCCCGCCCCCTCCCTAACAATTATGAGTGACAGGCTGATAGTAACCTGATAGAAACTTTATTATTCACTTAATCACTGATTGAGATGATAAAGCTAACTTAATTTCATATATTCATGGGATTTATGTAACAGTAAGACAGAGAATAAGTGTGCACCCACATGCACTATTTTTGTTTTGATATGCTGTTGTAAATACTCCTGTTGTCTGCTGTATTCAGACTCAAGTCATGTTTGTGATGCCACATTCAGGACATTCAGTGTTCTTTTTTTAACAGAAGACCGTTGCTAGAAGCTGCAGCTAGACTGCAGAAGTATCACGGCCCGTCCACACAGCAGCGTTAAAAAAATCTTCCAACGCTTCTGCCCATTCACTTTGAATGGGGTGACGTCACTTTGCCTCACTTTTCGCCGAACTGCATTGTGGGAAGCAGAGCGGAGCTTTCCAGGCATCTCAGGCTTCAAAAGTTGAGCAATGTTCAACTTTTGAAGCTGAGGTGGAAGCATCAGCCAATCAAATCCCATTTATGCAAATCTGACAGTACAAGCGCTAGCCAATCAAACCGCGTGTATGCTGGGAGAGACATACCGCAGGTCATTTCCTCATATTCCAAAAAATGGAGGAGAAATTAATTATAGCGGTAGAGAATCACCCGGTGCTTTATGACCAGTCCCTATTTACCTACCGGGATACAAACCGGAGGAGCCAGGCATGGAGGGAGGTGGCAGAGACAGTGGTAGGTTTTCGCCTGTTTGGGGAGTTTATATCCAGTTTACTTCGGGCTTTTTTGCTTTGTATGTCGGGGGCGGGAGATTCATGTGATTGGTTGTTGGTCGCGTTGCTCGCAAAAAATCCCCAAGCTTCAGATACGCCCACCTCCAAGATTTTTTTAACGCTGCTGTGTGGACGATGGAACAATTTCACACACAGATATAGGGAGGCTAGACCGATACAATTGATTTATTATGGTTTATAATTTCATGTCAAGACGAGGAAGAAGAAGAAAAAGATGGCTGAACTGTTCAGTGTCAATCCTGTGGAGATGGAGGTTATAAATCTCCAAAATCATGTTCAGCTTAAGTCTCGGCAAAACTCACAACATTTCTGGAGCCTTATAGACCCAGAAAACTATAAGAACATTCACCAAGCAGCACTGAAAATGTCTGCTTTATTTGGCTCTACATACCTTTGTGAAGCAGCTTTTTCTGACATGAATGTCATGAAATCTAAATACAGAACAAGACTGACTGATGAACATTTAAATGACTCTATTAGAGTGAACCTAAGTGGGTACACTCCAGCATACACCTCTGGTGGACTCCATGCAGTGCCAGTCATCTCACTAACTGTGAAAAAGAGTGAATGCCACTTATTTTACACATGTGCCATACAGTAAGATGCTTGTAAGGTGGTGATTAAGGTGATGTACTTACTATGTGGGCCATAATAATATGTGAGAAATTGTCGTTTTCTTGGACCTTGATGTGAAGTTAAGATTTTTGATAAGCTTTGGGTATTGCAATTTCACACGTGTACAAAAGTAGCTTAATTCAACCGATGAGTGCTATGTGAATAAATGTAAGCGATGTGATGCAAGTAGGTCTTGGCCACTTTCATTTTTTCAAAGTAGCTCTCAGATGAAGAAAGGTTGGAGACCCCTGCCCTAGAGTAAATACTTAGCATTACAAAAGCTAACATAAA